TTTTTTTTTTTTTTTTTTACTCCTTTTGCAGATTTGGAAGACAACTCTAGAAATATTTACATTTTTTTTTTAGTTCTCTCCAGCACTAACAGGGTGTTAAGACCAAACACTAAAGTGTCTTGATGCAAGTCAAGCATGATATTAATGAGCATGTATCAATGAGCTCAGGTCCTGAGGTGATAGTGTATAAACAGTCTGCAAACACTCTAAAGAGGTGCCTCACGATTAGGAATAAAGGAACTCGAGCATCATTCCTAGACCAGCTCCCCAGATGCAGCCAAACAAGCCTACCTGGCTTTCGGGCTGGGTCTGACTGGGTGGCCAGCTTTGGGGTGGGTTTCATGGTTGAGAGTCTAGTCCTTGGGTCTAGGTTTAGCAACAACTTTTCAATTTACTCAGGGGGAGTCTGGGTGGGGAGAAAGTTTTGGAAGGCCCATTAAGTTAGGTAGAATTCACATGTCTCATGCACCAGATAAAATACTTAGTCCAAGAGCCAAGACTGTTAACTGACCTGTGTCTATTCAGAGTACTAGGGTACAAATCAGGTTTTTTGGTAAGCATAGGACAGTGGGAAGTTAACAATGCTATTAATTTTGTTTAATCAAGAGTTTTCTAAGCCTGTTTTATCATGGGAACACTTTTCATCAAAAATATCTTTTAATACCTTGTAAAAGATCTTGGCAAATTCTGGTAAAATTAACAATGAGTTTACAACAGAAGAAAATCAAATAAATAAGTATATATTAAAAATTAAACCTCACTAGTAATCAAAGAAATGCAAATGCAAATGGGTTTCCAGTTCTTCATTTATTAAATTGACAATGATTAAATGAATAACAGTGCTGAATGGTAGTTAAAGTAGAAAAATGGAGATATAAATTGTACAATTTTGAATTTGGAAAAAATGTCAAATGGTTTATTACCTTTTATCAATAATCTCACTTCTAGATAGGTTTCATTTTAGAGAAATTATTGGGCAAGTTCACAATGTTCATAAGAGGATGTATCCTCACAGCATTTTTAAAAAATATAAAACATTGGTAACAATCTAAATATCCAACCTATAGTTAAATAATTATAGTGCACTGTACAGTGTAATGCTCTGTGGCAACTAAAATTTGATCCAGATCAACACTTACTGACATAAAAAGACATTAAGAGTTCATGGGAATATTAGTATTATAACCTGATTGCATTTTTATAAAACTACGTGTTTTATATTTTACATTTTATACTGATAGGATTTGAGGGAAATTAGTTTCCTTTTTTTAAGTAATGGTTTTTAATATTTTTACAATGATTGTGTGTTACTTCCACAAATTTTTATACAGTAGAAAAGTTTAAACAAATAAAGAAAAAAAAATCTGAGTTTAGTGCATCCCTTCCCTTGAATGATGAGAATGAAACACCAATACACTCCCATGTTCCAGTTGTTTCCTTTTCTGTACTCACTCCTTCAGTCTTTCAACAACTGCTTACTAATTGCCTGCTGAGCGTGAGGCCTTGTGCTAGAGGCTCCTGCATTCCCAGGCATTCCTCACTCATGTAACACCCTTATGCATCTCAACAGCTTATTATTACAGTCTTTCATTTCCAAAATTGATACATTTTTTACTGATTTCATTTTAAGGCAACTACACCTAAGATAACATATAGAGAAATACTTTAGTATCATCAATGAGCTGTCTGTACAATACATGCTAAAATGAGCTTTTCTGACCTTACTGAATTTTAATTTCATTATAACTGTTCCTTTTGGGATGGGGTGAGGAGAGATAGAAACTCACCTTTGTTGTGTACATTAGTCTCTCCTCTCTGGCATGGGCCAGTGCTCCATAAATGATGGAATGGTTCATCTCACAAATCAAAATGTGACACCACATTTTTAGAAAATACCAAACCCTTTCTAAAGAAGGTCTTTTTACCCTTCTGAAGAAATAGGTGGTTCTAGTTTAAGTGCTTACAAGAATTTTTTTTTTTTTTTTTACATTGTTCAAGGGTTTCAAAGGAAATAAATATATGAAATAAAAGGAAAAGTGTAACCAATGTGTTTGCTGGTGTGTAACGCTGCACCCTGGCCTGAAGATGGCAGGGATCCACACCCTCAGGCATCCTGTGGCAAAAACAAGCTGTCTCTAAGATCAGTAATAATAATAATATTCTTATTATAGCAAGATTCTTTTCTTTTGGCTTCCTAGGTCTACCCCGGCCATGCAAGCAGCTGCTCTAGGTTCTTCCATCGGAACAGCAGTTGCTGGAGGGCTGATCACAGGTCAGCATGAAAGTAAACACTTCCCTGTACCTCATGGTCTCGGCATAATCGGTTATTAATAAACATATTAATCAGTAAACTTGAAAATGTGCTAAACATCCCACAGTAATCATGTAAACTCAAGGGGATGATTTTATCACAGTAATTACTTTAAAGTATTTATTTAATTACTATGCAAGTAAGTTTTCCTCTTTAGCATCATAACATGACTTCTGTTCTCCCCACCTTCACAGGTTTAATTCTGAAGTTACCTATCTGGGGACAGCCACCTGACGAGTACTGCTATGATGATTCTGTCTTTTGGGAGGTACTGTGCACTGTTCTACATAAGGGTGTAAATGATGACTCCCCTAGTGAAAGTTTGGCTCACCTCAGGCCTAGATGTGTGTGTGTGCATTTGTGTGATGAAATCGAATGAAACCCTGTTTAGAAAGTAATTAAGACAGTGTGTGCAGACAGATAAAATTACAAGTGATGGTATTTTCCAAAGCAGATGTTAAATGAAGAAAAGGCTGAAGCAAGTGCTGTTTCACTCTTCTGAGAGTTATTAAAAAATCTACTCATAAAAATAATAGGGATCCTGGGCATGAAATTTTATACCTTATAGAAAAGTAGGAAAAAGGTGGTGGAATGTGGAAGGTTGAAGAATCTCAGTGAGTTCACAGCAAGAGGTTCTTTGAATAGCAGAACATCAGCCTCATTCTTTCCTCCAGTGTCTACCTCTTTACTCCATTGACATTTTCTCCTAAATTATTTCCTGCAAAGCTTAAGAGTGAGAGATGCTTGAGTGTGCCCAACGAGATTTTCAGGGAGAACAGGTGTGGGAAAATGGAATGTAGTCAGGGTGGGTGCAGTAAATATTTCTGTGTTTTGCTTTTTCCCCCAAAATCAAACCATTTTTATACCCAGTTTTTTCTAAGCATGGATAATAATGACAGAAAATGCCTCTGTTTCAGTACTAATCTCTGACAGGCCCAGTGAAAGCAACTATAATGTGACCTCATCTTGTTTTCTCTCAAGGTCCCTAGGTGGAGAGAACATGACAGTCATTTCTATGAACATCAAGGCCACAACCACTTGGAACCTGAACCCTAAGTGCCATTCCTCTGCCTCAGCTTCCTTTATTTAGAATCAAGTTTAAATAGACGAAAGCACCCAGTGGGAATATAGACCAGCATGGAAGATCCTGAGCCCCAAATGTTCAGTGTAAAAATGTCTTAGCATACTCTGGTGTTGTCTCTGATGTTCCCTGATTTTTATATAGGGCCTATGACTCATAAAACAGGTGGGCAAGACTACTCTTGACCATCAGGTAGATACAGGGTGAACACTCGATGTTCGATGTATATTCGTGTATATTCCCCATGGAGGTAGATTTATATAGAAACTATACTTTCAAATCATATCAGTTTCTTAAATGTAGTTATTATGTTTTCAGCCCCAAAGATTATATAACTGAAGCTAATGAAACAATAATGTATATAAGAATCTATATAAGAAACATGTATTGAGGGACTAGCCTTAGTTGCCAATGTTTTTATCTAATGAAAAAAAAGATACCAAAAAAGAAAAACTACCTACTATCACTGTTTCATCTTAAAGAAGAAAGATAAGCCTGACATCACCAAAATGGGAAGGACATATTCAGAATAAAAGACCATTATTTAAGTTAAATAAAATTTACCTTCATAAAGAATAAAATAATAAAGTCTCAACACTTGTACTTTATTTTTATTTTTATTTTTAATATGTCTTTATTGATTTCAGAGGGAGGAAGGGAGAGGGAGAGAGAGCGAGAGAGAAGTGTCAGTGATGAGAGTCATTGACTGGCTGCCTCCTGCACGCCCCCTACTGGGGATCCTGCTGGGCTCAACACCAGTACTTTAAAACAAAGGCTGTAAGGAAGCTCCATCTGCTTTACTTTCTGAGTTGAGATTGACATACTTAACTAATTAGTTCTCTAGCTCTCTTTCTCCCTCAAATCTTCAGAGAAACATGCATATACATGCAAACACACAATGTATTGATCACTGTATCTGTGTGTAGTACAGGTTCAAAATAAAAGAATTATGTAGAGCAGTAATATGATTGCTTTTGGTAATGTTTTCTTGATTTTAGAAATGGTCGAGCTAGTGATGTTGTCTTTGTTTGAACATTCTTATGATTGATTAATTCTTTTTGTATATTTACTATTTGCAAAAGGAGCTCAAATGTTGTCTGACTGAAATCTATTTTGTATAAAATTTCAATGGATTAAATGTCATTATAAAATAAAGAATTAGTCTTCGGCTCTCCTTCCTTTGGTGGCTGGAATTCATTTTAATAACAACCACGTGCACACACACAATCCTCATATTTAGTCCATGCTCAGCTTAAATAAATTGTTACATTATTACGTAGTCACTATAAAAAATGAAGCTAATGCCTCATAGGATAAGTTTTAGAGAACCGAGTTTTAGAAAAGGTAACTGACATAGCCATATAAAACCACTTCTAGGAAAATCAAATACATTTTTCTTCTTTCTGAAAGCTTTTAATATTTTCCTTCTTTTTCTGGCATCCCGGAATCGTGCCAAGATGTGCCTAAGTATTATTAAGGAAAATAGCCCTGCCATGATTAACAGAACTTCGATTTCTGAACGCTGGAAATTAAAAATTACCATAGCAAATTTTTAAATATCTTATTCCTCTGGACAAATAGTTTATTTATAGATCCTAAATATTTTAGCTAGACAAATAGATGACTTCTTTCAAATGCACATCGGTTGCTCTTGCCTGTGTGCTTTTTGAAGTCTGCTCAATTAAATATGAAGCCCACTGTCCCCTCCCTCGCTGAGCATCACAAAGAATCATTTTTGCTACCAGCATGTCCCAAGGCCCCTCCTTTGGTGCTGCTCATAATGCAAAACTCGCAGGCTCTGGAGCTCACTGACACTTTGTAAAGCCTGTGATTTTGACGTGCTAAGGAACTGGGTTGCGGTGGCCACCGGCTCTGACCTGTGCGCACTCCCTCTGCCTTTGGCAGTGCAGTTCCTACACACAGCAGCGTTTTACTTTTTAAATTCTGAGCTAGGGGCCTTCATTTCACAGCCGTACGCACCCTCTTTCGATCTGTCACGCCTGGAATTTAGTGAAGCGTTTTAACCTGATGGTTCAAGCCTGCTTCTGCTCAGGTGAGCTTTCTCCTATGATTTAAAAACGTCCGCTCCCTCATCTCCCCACTTTTCTTCTTTTCAAGTGAACTGGATCTGTTATCCAAATCTATTATTTTCCCCATCTTTATGTTTTTGGTTTTAACAGAGACTTTGTTCCTTTTATTCATTGACTGACTTTTTTTGGTGGTGGTGGGGGGGCATATTATGGTTCCTTTTTATAGGTCCAGCAAAGTTTTTGTTTGTGTCTGGGTGTGTGTGTGTGTGTGTGTGTGCGTGCACGCCTGTGTGTGCTATGCTTGAATCACCTTGTTTTTATGATTTTGCATATTGAGGAGAAGGGCGATCTTTCTGTTCAAGTTCAAGATCAAAATCTAACCCAGCTCTGACAACACTTAAATAACATTATTTATACCTTTTCTGTTCAAAGAAACAGAAAACAAAAAAACAACACATTTAAGATGTCGAATAATACTGTTTCTGTTAATTGGCTAATTTTAAAAATCTACTTGGATGATCAGTTTCAAGAAATTTTTGTTATTCTTTGTTCTGATCTAAATCTGTAAGACGGGCCTATAATCATTAAGTACAATTTCAGAAGCTGAGCCCTTACCTGTTCATTAAGATATGAGAGCCGCGCTGTTCCAGTGAGGCCTCACCAACGGCTTGTTTTGTTAGAAGCCATTTATGTTGTGTGTTCTCTTTATGCTCCTCCCTCTGGGTGCTGGGACCCTTTAGGCGCGCTGTGAACTTCTTTTGTCTGTTTACTGGTGGTAGTGGTGGGGGGTGTTAGGCTTCAGCTGCTGTGGTAAATCGGGAGGCCACAACCTTGGGAAGGAAGAGAGGCACGGCTGTCCCTGTCTCTGATAGAATCGGCCAGGGATTTGCCGGATGCCCAGGGACAATTTCACTAGATTGGGGCCTGAATGAAGTCTCTCTGCTCAGTCTTTTCGATGGGCAAAGCGTGGTGTTCTTTTAAAATCAGGGGGAGGGACTTCACTGCATCTGTTCAGCCCTTTTGAAGTGCCCAAGGGGGACAAGAGAGTCCCAGTGTCATTCCCCATTGGGGAAATACATCACCGTTCCCTGGGAATGCACAGACCTCTGCAAACCAGCAGTACCCAGAGCCTTACCCCATGGGTCTCTGTCACCTGTTTCCAAACTTCATCCATACAGACAGAGGAGGGAAGTCCTCCACCCGCTCTCCCTTCCACCCTCCAGAGCTGGAAGGCCTTACATCCCCCAGGCCTGGTCACCGCTGGCTCAGGACAGGGCCTGCAGTCTCCTTAGAGCTGTGGGAGGAGGGCGGGAGGGCCATATTCAAGCTCCCATTTTCCGCTTTTAAATAAGGCACAAAGATGTGATTCCCTGTACTTCACAACTCGATAGGTTACATTTTTCCTTTGGAAGATGAAACAGTACATTTCTTAAGAGCTGACGCTGCTCATTTTTCAACTTGTAACTCTCGCATTTTGACTAGAGCGCGTGCTTCGGGCTGTGTGTTCAGCAAATGAATGGATAAACAACGAATGAACAAAAATCATCGTCAAAAAAGAAAATAAATTTTTATTATTTACTTAATTCTGTGTCGATTCACTTCCCCTCCTCCCTCCTCCCTGGTCTATCACCAGTGGATTTCACGTAACCCCCTTGGGCCTCCTGCTCTGATTGTAATGTGGCGACTACCCTGCGCCATGGCCATCCTCGGGAGCATTTTCTCCATGTGTTGAGATTTTGCTTCCCGGCAGTTGTCGTCAGTTTGACTCAGATAGGCTCATAAAAACCCTCTGCAGGTTAAACATTTCTTAGATCGAAAAAGCAATTAATGAAAGTAGTCATTTCTATATTGGCTATCGTGGAAAAGACAAATTGCTAAAACTACAACATGGAAAACAAAGAAACGGCCTTTGCATTAGGTATAAACCAGACAATAATAGAGATCCAGACGTATACAACATAATCTAAAAAGACTCTTCGTTTAGATTGTTTGCCAAGTTTTCGTCATTTAAAGAACCTGCAGCTGGACATTTTAGATAATGTGCTTTTTGTGTAGTTTATGCAGGAAGAAGGCAGAGAATTTTTATCAGCAGACTCAAAGGAAAGCCCTTGGCCTTACAACAAAAACTTGGTGAATAAATACGTACCTATGGATTTTCATTCTCTAATGCCTTTTTCTAGTTTTAAACAAGTTTTTTTTTTTAACAACATGCCAATCATTAGATAACAGGCATTTGAGAATATTGAATTTTACCTCAACTCTGTGCTCCGGGAAAGAGCAAATGCTAAAAGAACCCACCCTTATATGCTTCAGAAACAAACAGCTTACTTGGAAAACAACCCTTTGCCCATAGGCTTTAGATAAAATTCATTAAAGCCCTTTATTTACCTATGATGATGTCAGGCATAAACGCTCCAAATTCCCGTTGAATTGGAGCAAAGTTCCGTCCCTCCAAAATATGCCTTTTGGGGATATTGATTAAGCTGGCGATTTTTAAGAAACAAAAGACACAAGAAGAGCCTTTGCCTCCTGCTTCAGGAAGGGAGATCACCTTAGCCTAAGAGCAGCAGACAGGGAGGAACCTGAAAAATCTGATCCTTAGACTCCAGTATGTGTCCCATTGTTTCTGGGAGGCCCGGCAATAGTTTGTTTACTAAACGTTGGCTCCACCTCCTCTGCCTCCCCTTTGCCCACCTTCCCTTTCAAGTCCCAGACCACTACCCTCCCCCTTCTCCTTAGCTCAAGGTGGGTTTTAAGCCTCAGCTGCAGGATTGGTCTCCTCAAGTCCCACATTCTTATGGAACCCTCGTATGTAGACACGTAACAGATTTGGTTTTCTCTCCTGTTAATCTGTCTCATGTCAATTTGTTTCTTAGATCTAAGTGGGAAAACACAAGAAGAGGCTGGCCTCAGGGGTAAAAGACTGAGCCATTACCCGGTCCTGCCCGCCTGCACCCGCCTGCGCACACCCTGTTCTCTCCGGTCTTACTCGGGCATTTCTATGCTCTTAAGATACTTGCAGACCTTATTATGACCCCAGCATCCCCACTATTGAAATAGTTCCCTTCTCTCCTTTGCAATAATCCTTTTGAGTTAAGTCTCTGTGTACTAAATCTGGATTTTTTTTTTTATTTGACAAATTCTGTTAAATGTTGAGATGATCTATAGTTTGAATTACGTCGATATACGTAAAATTAGGTTAAAATTCACACTGAAGAAGAACATGGGAAGAAAAAATAAGGTAAAGTTTGTTAAATT